TCGGGTTTGAGGAGATCTCTCTTGGAGCTGGAGAGGAGAGGTCCGCCGTCTCTCTCCTCCAGCCGCCGCCGGGCTTCTTCTCTGCAGCCTCCCGCCGCTTCATCATGGATCTGGGGACTAAAAGAGTCGCTGGGATTATCGCTCGGGTCGCCCTGCTCCTCTCCTGCTCGTACGGGACAACCGGAGAAGGTGAGCCGGCTGTGCGCTTTTCACTTTTCCCGGAGGAGACGCAGCGAGTCCGGGGCAGCGCAGCCCCGGAGAGGAGGCTTTAAATCACTCTGTCACACCGCCTGAAAACTACGAGGGTTTTGTTTACTGGATGCAGAAATAGCGAGCTGTTTGTTTTGTGAACTTGTTGTGGTAATTTTCGAAAATGCTTGGCTTCTTTTTTTTTCTTTTTCTGAGAGCTGTGGGATTTTACGCGCTTCTGTTGCGCATCGGTGCAGAAGTGGGTTGATATGGAAAGAGTGATTGAATTTTCTCCTATTTAATAGAACCGTATCAGCATCACTAGCCCACAAATGTAAGTGAAACCGAGGATATTTGGAAACTAACTTTCGCTTTTCCGCTGTTTTCGTAATCATATCAAGTTATTTGGCTGGTTGTAGGGTCCAAATGTAATCTCGTAATCGAGGATGAAGGCTGTTCTGCACATGATGCTTTCTAACACAAACAGCCTGCGCACAGTTTCATGTCATCAGATGCGTTCCTGTTCCGCTGTGTGCACAGAACCAACATTATGTCTTTGTCTCCTGGTTAATTTGGTGCTCAGCGCAGCGTGATGAGCATCCAGGGACTGAGCCACGTTTGTGCTCCAACACTCCGGAGAGCAGCCAGGTGTGGGAGAGAAAACGAGGCTGAATGCGGGTTGGAGAGGTGGTTTGACTCTGTAAACTCTCTTTACTCCACTATATGCTCAGCTGTGATTGTGCAGGGATGTCTGTTTCTGCCTTAGAGGTACAGGCAGGGAGAGAAATTCAAGGACAGACATGGAGAAAAACTGACAGGATTCTGGGTGCGTAATGAGACGTTACTGTATGTAACTAAAGCAGATGGTAGTAAAAGTTCTGTCTCCACGGTTTTATTCTCCTCTTCCACAACTCATCTGGTCCTCTCTCTATTCCTGAGCATTTAAAAAAATAAATTAATCTCTCCCAGGTTTTCACTTCCTTTCTTGTCTTTTCTTACACCCTCATCCAACATCACCATCATCACTGTCCTCAGCCCATTTCTGCTTCTCTGGCTTCATCCCTCCAGTCTTCTCTGTGACAGGCTGCGCCTCCCACATTATCATAAAAATGCCATTTGAAGAAACGTGCACAGCGATCCTTGGTGGTCCTGCTGTAGTTTAATGGGAAGGCATTCGACTGAGAGGCAGTAAGTGAGGGATTGGTTCTGCTTTTTCATTCTGCAGCTGGACAGATGAAGGGAGAAAAAGGTGATGTCAGAGGGACTTTGCAGGTCCGGTCTCTGTTGCTGAAACAAACAGCTTTGCCAAATGTTCTGAATTTACATCTTTCTGCTTTGTACTATCTCCATTTTGCCTGTTTTCTTCATCTCCTTCATCTCCTTCATCCCACCCTGCTGTTCCTGCCGCTAACTGTCCATCTTCTCCTGCTCGACTCATCTCTCTCTCTCTCCCCCACTGATTGCTCTGAGCTCCCCGCTTTTGCCAACAGATTTAGTCTTTCTCATCTTCTCCTTCTTTATTCTGTCAGTGTTTGCCATCTCTTTGTGCTCCTCTCCTACCTGGATCTCTGCTCTCCTGCTGCATCTGAATCAAAGCGCTGCTCTGCTCCTCCTCTTTAGCTTCCCCCTCCTGCATGTTTTCTGAATGTTTCATGACCACATCGCCTCATTTTTCTCTCCCCCCGTACTGCCTGCTCTTTTCTCTTCTCCCTGCATCTTCAGGTTATTTTCTGAATCTCCGTTGCCTCATGCTCACGCTGAAAGGTGGTTTTGAAGACCCAAACCAATCCTCGTACTTTATTTCTCCCATTTTCTCGTCTATCAAGTTGTAAAAGCCTCCTGAAAGAGCACCTCAGCGATTAGTATATCAGTTTTCTGTGTCCAGCTTGAAAGGTCTTGGCTCTGCTTTCTCTCTGTGTTTGTGTCGCACAGCCTGACCCAGCAGCGCACTCATCATGCACGGACCATAAACCACAGCAGCATAATAAGTTAAGACTGCAGAGGTGGAGGGATCCCAACTGCAGGTTTCTCACGGAGTCTCACGTCTCCATCCCCGGCCCCCCAGAGACAGTTCACCGTTCATTATGGCGGTGGTACTAAATGACAACAAAGTAGAAATACATATTTTAACAGCTACAGATGGCGCTCCGATGAGTTGTTAGCCCGAGGAGTGAAGCGCTGGGGTTTATGTGATGAGATTCGAGAAAGTCAGTGTGTGTGAAACAGCTATCCGCAGGGCCGTAAAGTCACTGTGCGTTTAATCGCCTTTTGATATTAACAGCATGATGGAGTCTCTGTGTGTTTTAAAGCGGCTTCTTTCATGAGTGTGGAGGAGGAGGAGGAGGAGGAGGAGGAGGAGGCAGATTGGTGCAGGGTTTACAGAGCCCAACATGTAACTGAAAGGTTTTTCTTCCCCATTGCTGGCAGTAGCCATTGTCAGCTGAGGGCAGATGGAGTGTTGATGTTGATGAGATTTCGTGGCCACTCACAGCCAGAAAAACAAGCTGTAAATAACATATTGCTTTACCTCGACCAATGCCTGACCTTTGGTGGCTGGTACCAATATCACCGATATTCCATAGGAGCTTCAGTAATAAGGAGCAGGATTCTCTTTTAGGTTTTAAATATGTTTTACCTTCCATCCCAGAGGTTTGAGGTAAACTGACAAAGCTAAAGCCTAAAAGAGAAGCCGAGCTGCTTTGCACCATGACCTGGATGACTGAATCCATACAGATACAGGCTCTTATTCCTATTGCACATATGGACAAAGAATGTTCTATCTCAACAGACTGAATGGTCTGTACGTCAGCCTTTGTGAGCGTTATATGTGGAGCATTGCTACAACACATGCAGCTGTTGCAATTCACAAACAATAACGACATTTCAGAGAGGTTACAACAAAGATATCAGCTGCAACTGGTTCATCTGGAATTCTGTGACCGTCTTTGAAGTGCTCAGATAAATTTAAAGTGTTTGCTCTTTTGCATACTGGCTTTTAGTAGTCTGGACTCAAACACAAAATATCTCCATGCACAAGTCTTGAAGTCGACCTGTTGCTGCACCTGCCTCAGTCATTCCACCTGTTGTTTTTTTCCTATTACCTCAAATATCCATGGAATCTGTTATGCTTGGTACAATAGAAAAACAAATGAAGTCATGTTTTCAGATTTTTCTTTGACATTGACTTGGTACAGAAGTATTGGTTCTCAAAATATCTGTAGTTATTTGCTTGTTAGCAAACAGAGTCATGTTTTTGGCGACCTGGCTATGATAGCTACAACTACTGGCTACTAAAGTTCATCGTTTCTCTCCTTGCAGTTTTTTTTTCCTTCCCACATGAACTTCTAAGCAAATGATCGCTATGCTATGTTCACCAGTTGAATGCTAGCTTTGTTGATAGAACTGGGCAGGTAACATACAGTGTGTACCATAAATTGCTATAACAGATGGACATGGCGACTGTGGTGAGCGACCACTGTTTGAAAGCTTTGAATTTGGAATCTGGCTGTCACAATCCTAAAACCTGTCAGTTCGCAGGTAGCACTGCCCTGAACCATACCCTGCTTTATCATCTGTTTTTCTCTAAATATAACCATAAATTACAAAATGAACATCGTGCTGTTTTAAAGGAGACACAAAACTAGTGACAGAAACAATAAACTCACGAGGAAGATGTTTACTGAGGTAACAAATCAAGCAAGAATTTGTGTAATTTTCTCATAGACTTCTATGCAATTACATTTTGCAGCCAGAGGAGTCGCCCCCTGCTGGTCATTAGAAAGAACGCAGGTTTAAGTCACTTCTGCATTGGCTTCACTTTTCAGACTCATAGGTGATATCCATCTTTAATATGTTGTCTATGGTGATACCAATGTGTCACATCCAGCTGACATTAGCGTTCATTTGGAGTCTAGTTCCAGTGTTCATTCTTCACTTCCTGAAGAAGTATTTGGTCATTAGCTTCTAACTGCTCAACTTCCAAGTTTTTGTCATTGTGTAACTGGCGTTCATTCACATTAAAACTGAAAGATGACAAAAGACCAGAACCACAGACTTCATCTTTCACATTACAAACAGCCATTTGATAATTAATTTGTTCAGTTTGCAAACAAAGCAGCAGGATGGATGCTCAATTGCCGACTGTAATAATGAAACTAATTATTAGAAAAGCTTACATTTAGACCGGCAGGTAGTTACAAGATCAGGACTTAGCAGCTGGAGCAAAAAGACACAAGGCAACACTGACAAAACGGCGAAAGACAGAAGGAAGAGAGCTGGCATTTATGGAGGGAACTAATGAGCCATTGGGAAACAGGTGAGTAAATGGGTGTAGGAGTCAGGTGAGCGGGACAGTCTGAGGACATCTGGTGGACAGATGGACACCAGTGAGGGATGGAGACAGGTGGATCTGGAAAAAGCAGATGGGAAAAGACTGGGGGAAAAATCAGTCCATTGAGTGCTGCAGAACGGCTAATGATTAGCCAATTAGCACCATGAATGGAACTAACGTCAATGAAGGACGTTTGTTGAGGTGTGTGCCAGACTCAAGGAGCAATAGAAGAAGATGCAACAGTGAGCTCTGTATTCAGGATAGATGTTGGTTAGCACTGTTGCCTCGCAGCAAGAACGTTGCCGGTTTGCGTCCTGGTGGGGGCACCAGAATCTTTCTTCATGGAGTCTCCATGTTCTCCCCGTGCAGCGTGGGTTCTCTCCGGGTTCTCCGGCTTCCTCCCACACAGTCCAAAAACATGTTGAGGTTAATTGGTGATTCTAAATTGTCCGTAGGTGTGAATGTGAGTGTGCTTGGTTGTCTGTCTCTAAGTGTAGCCCTGCGATAGACTGGTTACCTGTCCAGGGTGTCCCATGCTGTCGCCCTAAGTCGCAACCCTAGTGAGGATTAAGCGGTGTATGGATGATGGATGGATGGATGCTGCAGCTGCAATAGAGGCTGCTCTGAATCGGTTAAAAATACCAGTTTTTACTATCCACTGCTCAATTCT